AAACCACCTACGAACAACCCATGGCCAACCTCACTGGCAACGACTGCACTTCCCAACCTTGCAACCCATGGGAAGATAACGCCCTCCAACCCGCTGAGGACTTCACCAACACCAACGATCCCATGTTTGTTGATAACAGAAATACCCTTGACGAGGACTTGCCTCTCGATGCTGAGCCTATTGCTCAACTCTCCCTCACGCAATGTGACTCTTCCCACCCCCCATCGACTCCCGTCTCTGAGTCTGGCGCTGCCATGACCCCTGACCACTGTCTTTTTCCTCTTTTGACATGGCTTGCTGCTAATTCTGGGAATGATTCTACGGCCCATACTGTCGACCCTTCTCTGTCTGTTCCCTGTCCGGACATTTCCAAGACTTGTCAACCGGATGTGTCCCTCGGGCACAAGGACACTTTGTCTGAGCCATTTGACGAGATCACCATGTTTCCCCAAGACGATGAACAAGGCACCCAGCTGCGCAAAGTCTCCAACGAGCTCGATCGACCTCTTCCCGGGCAGCCTGACACTGTAGTCTATGTTGCTGACATCCCCAAACCAAGCAACCGAGACTTGAACGCCGAGCACGCTGCCGTCATTGACCGGTTCCGAGCTGGTGGTGAGTTGAACTACACTGATCGCACTATTCTTCTGCTGACTGCCGGGATAGATTCGTCTATTGACGTCGATGCCGTGAACAGGCAGACCGCAGGAGTGACCGAAGGCATGTCCCCAGCTGATGTTCCGGCCTTTGGGGATGACGTCCTTCTGCATGTCTTCGCCAGTCTTGAAGACATCCCTGAAAACAATCTTCAGGACCCCAACGCTACTACTGGCAACGACAACACTATGTTCCCTGTTACTGGCTGTTCAGACTTCAACTCTTCTAATGCTACTGGGCCTGCCTCAAACTGGCCTCCTGCCGCACCCAATGTGAGCCTCGCAGACATGCCGTGCTCTCCCGTTGTAGCATCTCAAGAGACTCAAGATGCCCTTTTTCAGCTTCCACAGAGCCCCGAATTCCACCCTCAAGACCCTAACAACAGCCTGTTTGGTGATTTGATCAATGTCTTCAACCCCGACTAGCAGTCCCAGGGCCTAGACAACACCACTAATGCCGCTCCCGAGGGAGTATTCCTGAATCCTGCTGTATTAAACCAGACAACAGCCACTACTCTATCTACTTCCGCAACCGCAACCGCAGCCAATACCACCAAGACTGGCAACAACAAGCGCAAGGCGGGTGAGGATGCCAGTGCAGCGCCCAACAAGAAGGCTCGCACCAAGAAGGCCCCTGTGCCGCAACTCGCGTTGCCTCAGTGTGAGGTTCGCTTTGGTCCTGGCGCGCAGCAGTAAAGTACGAATCGTGAGAGGAGAGCGAGGATGATGAGAATGATGTCGCTTACGGTGGATGCGAAGGATGAAGGACGAATAAATGATGAGCTAGGGGCAGAGCTCAGTGATGAAGAAGTATGTTTGGCTCATGTTTTGGATGGTGGTTTTTTTTGACACACAGAAAATTTATAGAATACGAAAAAAAAGAAGAAAAAACCCCGAAGATAAAAATGAAGAGCTCCTGGCTTTGAATGAATCTTGACATCGTGATGTATTACAATCTCGCACTGAAGCCTTTTATAGCTTGGTGATGGTTATGGCGTGCTAATATGGTGTTTTGATGAGCACTCTCGGCCCACCAATCTCTTCCGAAGCAGAACTTCTATTGACTTGGTTATTACCTTGCTTATCTATATCCTGCTCCTCTGTGTATCTATGGGTATGGCAGACTCTTGCATGTATTTCATTATTTCAATTTGCAACATATGTCACTCAGGCCAACGATCAAGGGTTTGTGTTGTTGTTAGTGAAGGCTTTTAGACTCTTTGGAAACAGGCTGATTGATGCAATGGAAAGTATTTACAAAGATGTATTATCACAGCTGGGAGCAGACATGGACAGCGAATGGCTGTTCAGCTAGCAACCGCGATAGGCGCCTATTTAAATGGTAATGGTCTGGTATTACATTTACCTGCATATATCATGTTGACGGCGTCTACGTCACTTGGCATGGAGGTAACCGGGGCATGAAGTTAAAGTTGAGTGAGAAAAGTTGAGTGAGAAACATTGAGCGAGGATATTACAGATTGCCGCGAGAATATCCGCTATTCTCGAGTTTCTTGTATTCTCGGTACCTACCTACTTCACCTCCTAACTAGTAGGTATAGTAGTGTGATTGTTGATATCTGATATGTACGGTCAGGTAGGCAGGTGACTGACTGGCTGTCATGATGTGTCCACGTGCATCAACAGTCTGGGGCATCGAGTGTCAAGTTGGGCGGCTGACTCTTGTCAACCAATGAGAAAGATCAATTGACCGCTCCAGCTTTTCCAACTTCAGGCCTGATTGCCCCGTGGCTGGTGATTCCTTCATCCCCCGCTATTCCCCCCAGTTGTAGCCTGAAAGTCACCTCAATCTCCATTCACTGGGCTACCTTAGGTCGAGCTCCAGCTGGAGGTAAGGAATACCTTATGCGGGCATCGATCGCGAAAGGGGAATTTATCCAGAGTCACACGACATTTGATCCACTGTCTCTTCTTCACATGTAAAAAAGCAAGACCAAAATAATACGAAAATGGCCAAAGGTGATGGATGGATGCATCGTTTACCCGTCGGAAACAAGCGCGAACCGAACCCTCCCGTTTATTTTAGGTATCAATAAATTTCTGTACGTTCCCATGGATGTTAGGACAAGGATCATTAGATCCCACCTCTACTCCGTACTTACGGAGTACCTAGTAGACTACCTAGGTACCTCGCCAAAGAGGACTCTTCCAATTGCAACCCAAGCAAGTCAGTCCAGTGGGGAATCGGGCTGTCGCACAGGCTCGCTCACAGGCGCTGGCGCTCAATTTTAGGGGGCCGGGGAGCCCAGGGTATAGGGTGACCGCGCGTGGAACCTCCTGCAGGTTTGCCGTCAAAATTTGTCGCACAAACCTCTCTCAGTCACTGTCACCGCACGCACACTCGACCAGAAGCTGCTGCTAACATCCATTATCGCCAACCACCATCATTCTTTTCCCACATTCAGGGTGCACGTTGCGTCCGTGCCTCGGAAATATCATAACCTGACATTGGACTTGCGTGAGGTATTTCTTGGCTGCTGCAACGAGAAGCACTTGACTAGACCAGACCACCCGGAAACCGGTCCCGAACGAAAACCAGAACCGGGACGGATAGCAAGCAGAACCTTGAGGCCCCCAAAAAGTCAAAAACTCTGTCAATCGTTCCAGTTCTGGACTGTGACCCCTGCCCTGCAGAACCCTTCGACACCTACAGAGACAGAGGCCGCGACTGAGACTGGGACTTGTCCTTCTTCAGCCTTCCTCTTCACCTCAGTCATGTGGCCTTCTCCGCTTAAAACGCCTGGCCCTGGCCTTGGCCCTGAGTCTGGCTCTGGTGCTGGTAGTGAACAAGCATCTTGCGTCGGCTCCGACCGTCATCAGTCGTCTACTGGTACAACTGCAGCACCTACAGAATCATCGAATGTCAATATCGGCAGTGGTAAGTTGACCTCTTTCTTTGTTTCTTTGTTTCTTTCTTTCTTTGTCTCCCTACTACCTATGCATACCTAACTACTTATTCTGTTCCCTTCTGTTCTGTTCTCGGCCAACACCGTCTGCTATTCTCGGTCAGCACACAAACTCAAAACCTTACCCAAGCCTTACCCCATATTTTCCCTCGTCTCGCTCGCTCGCCCATCCATGCAAGGGTCACGGCTGCACGCACACGAGCGATCACCGCTAGATTGAATTGCCCAGAGCCTGGAGATGCAGGGACTAAGACCTTCAAAGTATCCAAGCTTTTGATGCATCAGACAACCTAGTCCTTGATTTGGCTTCGGAATCTGTGTTGCTAGACATCTACTCGAGTTGTTCAGACAACTACAAGTCTAATTATTCTTGTCTCTTCTTCACTCTACCTGTTTATCCCCGCCTCTTCACTTAGTCTGTCTCACGTTAATTACTGTCAATTCCTTTCCTGTCTTGTCTTGTCTCGTCGCCTCGCATTGCATTATACCTCAAATCCACTCCACGCTACCACTGCGGCTCTAGTTTCTGGGGATCCGCTGCCGATCATGTCCTGGTGAGCCAAGCAAGTCTTTTGCCTCCCTCTCTCCTGTGACAGCTCTTCAATTGGGCCTTGCCTTGCTCTTTTCCCAGCCTTGGCTTCGATCATAAATTGCAGTGCCTTGGCTCTTCAACTCCCTGTTCCCCGCGTTGCATGCCTCTCCCTGAGCGATAACGCATCGTCATATAAGTAGACACATCCCCTTCAATCGGACAAGGAGCCGCAGCGTGTCAGTCGCATCGAGAACGACTCGGACCATCGCTAGTACTCAGAAATGACCCATGCGAGCCCTGTCAATAGCGCTTTACCTTAACCTGATCTTCCCTTCCAACGCCACCTCCGCTTAAACGATACCACCACCTGCTTCCATATAAACCATGCCCTTTGGCACCCCCGAAGTGTACTGTACCACGTCCACGTCCACGTCCACGTCCACACACGCACACACACACACATCCGCCCATCTTTCCTTCAGAATTGTTGACTGCTGCTTTTTTCCGCCTTTGTTAAACTTTGCCTCGTCAAAATTTGCATTTTGCCTCTGCCTGCCAAGAAGGATCGTCTAATAACCTAATCCAGTCGCAAAGACAAGTGATCCAGACCAAGGACAAGAACAAGAACACCAACATAGCCGACAACAATCGCCAGCTCGAGATATCACACCATCCTCCCCAGCCAACATCCACCCTCTACTTCAGGTCGCATCCGCTCCCCCGCATTCTCGCTCGACAATTGCCGCCACCGATACTACACCCGCTACCAAAACTCCAATTACTGAGTCGCCTGCATTGCCATTGGGCTTTCCAAAGCAATCGCCAGCAAATACTGCTCAACTTGCTTCAAGGGCCACCGAAGCCCGGGCAAGCACATCTTCAAATATGATATTCTCAGATATTTATAAGAGCCCGCGATCACCCATCGCTAAGCTGCGTCACCACTCGGTCCAGTTACCGACACCACTGCCAACCAATACCCCAGATTGGTACGGCGAGGAACACGCAGACCTTCTCAGCAAGGACAAGGTGAAGCAGAAGGAAGCAGTGAAGAGGTATCTCGACGCCAAAGTCAAGAACGATTGGGAGTTCCCATGGCCTTCTCCCTTTGTCGAGCCCCCACTACTTGAGGGTGACGTCGCTGTTGTCGACACTGCATCTGAAACACCTGATGCAATTGAGGCTGTCACCAGTCTCGATGTTACAGAACCGACAAAGTCAATCCAAGATGAGACGCGCGAGGATGATGGATATCAAATCGATGAACCTGAGTCATCAGATAACGAAGACGGCAGCGATGCCGAGTCCACGTACAGTACGGTCTCCGAAGATTTAGTCAACTTTCGTACACGTCTAGACTGGGCCTCAGACCTTTCTGATGATGAGGATGAGCCTGGACCTTCGCGATCGCCTTTCCGCTTTGACAACCCCAGTAATGTGGGCTCCACTGTCCAAGCTGTGGTTCAGGGCAAGCGCGCCAAGCGAAGGAGAGCAGTTCGCAAGGAAATGGAATGGAACGAAGGACTCGCCTGTTTCGAAGCGCGGCGAAATGCATGGACGGGCGCACGAACTGTCCGCGTTCGGGCCAAGCCTGCAACGCCTCCTGCTGTGTCACCATTATCTCCCCGTCGATTCTTCTTCCGTCGCTCCATGTCGACATCTCCTCCTGCCTCGACAATTGCGTCTACTTTACCACCGCAAGTCAGTGACGCGTCAGACAACTCTTCACTTACGAGAAGCGACGAGCTTCGCAATGCTCGATCTAAAGACACCACGCCGTCGACACCTCCCGACAGCCGAAATTATCCGGTTGAGGTCCTGCTTCCTCTTCCCCCACCTCTCCTACCTCCCAATAACCCTCTGCGCGCATCCATCACACCGTCTGTATATCTCAGTCTCTACGACAAGGTTATCATTCACAGCCTTCAGCCCTCATGCCCAATTAATTTGTCCGATATGCTTCGAGCTTGCGTTACTGGCTGGAAGCGAGATGGCGAGTGGCCCCCACGACCGACAATGGCTCCCGCTCCAGTCGCCAAGAAGAAGAAACCCAAGAAGCCTTCAAACCCCTCAGAGAACGCGGGCAGTACCGTGCGCCGCATGAGCTTTGGCCTGCTGGGTCGCGACAAGGACGATTCAACAAGCGGCAAGGGTATTCGCCGCAGTCTTGTTAGAGCCCTCGGCATTGGAGAAGGGACAGAGACCCCTAAATGAGGCTATCTCGTTACGAATTCATGATTATGATAAAAACCTGGAGGACTATCAATGCGGTTGACGCATGGCGCTTGTATATGGGCTCTCGCTTTCTGGCTTGGTACACCATGTAGGGAAGGAAATGTGTTGTGTATTCTGGTCTAGTTATGTTTATTTTTTGTTTGCCGCCATGACCTTGTCATGCTGGTATAGGGAGTTTTTGGGCATGGATTTGTCTCATATTGGAGTCTCTTGGGGCAGCTGAGGGGAAAGCCTGCATTTTGATACCTCTTGATCCCAGCATTGCGGCCATGCTAATTAACTTTGCTATAACTGTATTCTTTAACTTGGCATTGCTTCTCGCCCGTTGTTCACTGAGCTGAATGACAGGATCATTGTCTTGGTGCTGTCGTGATGTAATAGACTGTGATAGCTGAGGGTTGACGCCACAGTTCGTTGGGAGAGTATCACATGCCGTCAACTGAATTAAGTTTTGATCGTCTTGACAGGGTTTCAATGGCACATCTGTAGATTGTCACTGTAAGACCCAAGTTGACGGCTCGTTCCGTACCTGTCATGTGAGTTGCGCACCCTGTCGATCACACATCAACGGGGCGGGTACACATTGACTTTGAAGTGCTGAGAAGTCTTTGGTAGATTGGCATTGTTCCTATGGGTCTAGTATTGCAAAGATCATGTAGCGAGAGGCCAGCGGAAGCTGAAGACTCTGATTTGATGGGCTGGTATCGTCCGACTGTACTGCACTAAATTAGAATATCAAAAATCAAATCGATCCTTCGATAGTAGTAGGGTCAGAGGCAGATATAAAAATCAGGTCGCCTCTGGACTCGGATAGAATTGCATAAGGTCTAAGTAGGTCAATGTATTCCTTGTAGCCTCTCCAGTTTGTCCAGAAACATTTCGAAAGAGTATCGACGTGCTCGTCCACTCTAAGTCTGTCTAAGGATACAATATTTGAAGCATAGTAGCGTTCACTCTTTGTCGAAGCCGGGACTGGGATTGGCAACCGCATTTCTTTCGATGGCCACATCTATTATTGTCTTTGGCTAACTCAGGACTGATATTTCTGGTTATGGCCTTAGTGATATGTTCTCAGCCCTTCAGTAAGATACTCGAATGGGAAGAGTATTTCAACGGAATGTCTACATCTTTCAACTTTCGGCTTTATTTCAGCACTTCCTTGCTTCTTTGTGAAATCTTGTGTACCTATTTAAAGCTCAAGTAAACACACTCCAGGTCAATGGAAGTTACTAGACTGCAAACCAAGATTACTACGAAGGTAGCTAGCTAGGTACCTAAAGTCTTGGAAAATAACGTGAAGGTTAACATCAGCACGCCAAGTTTGACGGACTACAACCGTATTAGTAGTATGCACATCTTATGGTCCAGAGACTATCCAACAGTTCTAACAATGATTTGGCGTAGGTATGTAGGATGTACCTAAATATCAATACACTCCAGTAATTTCCAGTCTCACATGTTAAGACTGTGGAAAAGGAAGTTGGGAATTTAACCCTTTGTTGCCTCCTTCTCACACCCAAACTCAATCTGGCCGTTTTGGTTCATTGAATGTATTAACTTAACATGTGACTATACGTACCGATATTGCCAGCGACCTCTGGGCATCACACGAGTCATGATAACACAGACATGCCATAACAACTTCTATGTGAATGTATAGAATATCCTCGTTTTCTTTCTCTCTATTAAACTGTATTGCTAATCGCTCTAGCACCTTGAGTTCAATATAACTTTGCCAAGCTTATTGAATTGTTGAAACTCACAGCTCGTTGTGACACTTGGTGATTCCCAGTTGGTGGTAAGAACACTCAGATGCTAGCGCAAAATATATCGATCAAGGTAAGTAAGCCAATCGGTTGGAAGAGCTTTGGATAATAATACATCTAGGATATTTGTGCATTTTGGAGGGTGTATCTTGGCGATCTGCTCACGCCAGGTTCCCAATACCTGGTGATGACCATCGACGTGTATGATTTCTTGGGATGAAATAAATAAAGCAGCATCCAATTTTTGACTGGAATCTCCCAGGGGAAAGGTCAGGGGAGTCTATAAAGCACATGATAAGTGTTAGTTCTGGTTCTGCGCCTTCGTTCCGACGGTATCCTCAACATGGATGGAATGGCCCCCGTTGTGGCTCGCTGGCCAAGTATATCTGGTACAATGCCTTATTGGACCATCCAGTACAGAATATGACCATTCGGATCTACATCATAGGCCTGGATTTAGTTATCATACTTGGAACATTTGAAGAAGAGGGCTCTGCAAGAAGCAGATATCTATCATCGGCTCTGGAGTCTATGCTTAGACAATGATTCATGTAGCTTTTTAAGATCTCAGGAACAACGGCCTGTCATTATAACTGCTGTAACGAGTCAATAATACCAGAGCTTCCGAGGTTGATGAATAATTACAGGCCGGGGCTTTTTTCATCATATGCTCACTTGTTCGTGAAGTGAAGATGACCGGCATACGCTGCCGGCCTGTCTCACAATTGCATCCCCATGAACAATTTGGCACAGCCAAATTATTCAATGATTTAAATACCAAGACTTGGACACACGTAAATTAAGGACTGTCAAGATCGAAGCTGAGTATCACTGTGCTTCAAGAGGTGATCACTAGTGCGGGATGACATGACAGCTCTGTAAACCACAGGTCTCGTGATCTAGATAAATAAATGCTTTTGTGTGAAACCACGATTCAATCGCAAGTCGAGAACGGCTAATATTCCATTTTTTGACTCAGAGTGGCTATTGCTTCCAGATTATCGCCCCCCTCATAGCATCCTTGTCTCAATGGCCACAGTTCTACAGCCTTCACCCGTCATGACAGCGCATTAGAGGGTGCTCACATCAGAAGCGCCAGGTTAGAAATACAACCTGGTTCAAAAGCAAGGAACAAAAACTAGTTATTATACCAGAAGATCAAGATTGATGACATCTTCTCGAATCGTAGTGGTCCATCCGTGTATAATCTCTCCTGCTACATGATGGCACTTGCGAGAAGTATCATCAACCGCTATCGTAAGTCGCCAGTTAAGGACTCAGCAAACATAGAAGCACGAGCTAATGCCACCAAGATGTATTCACAAACAACGGCGAATTGTGCTTGGATTGGGTAGATTTCCCACCTTCTCGTGAGATGTCCATGTATAGCAATCATGGGAGTCTCATGATAGTTGATATTGGACGTAAAAGACCGAAGTATCAGCCGACGAGCTTCATTTCTAGAACTTGACTCAATATACCGAAGCTTTTTACTAGTTGCAGCACTGGATTTGAGTCTTCCCTACCTTTAATCACCACCTCATGATGAAGGGCTAGGACCACTTGTGAGAATTGCGAATCGGTGTATACATCAACAAAGGCAATGATGCTCTCGAGTGACGCACGGTCTTTCCTAGTAATATTCGAGGGATTGGTTTCGGTGGGCTACAGAAACCGCAACTCACCTCTTTGACGAAGTCTACAGAGTAGTTGTCATGAGCGACATGATGCGCGACCAAGACACTATCGATTGTTCCTCGGAACATGTAGGTTAGGCTTTCACATAGCAGGACTTCAGGAAACTCAATCGTCCAAGCGAAAGAATACGGGGCCTCGGCATAGAAGGTTCGTTCCCTTCAAACAAGGAGGCCTTTGCACTTGCTTGGTATGACTGTCAACGACTATGCGCCAATTAGCAATTGAGTTGAGACAGGTCCCATGTCCACGGCTCATTATTAAGCATAATAGTTCCACCATCAGACCGTTAGAAAGTCATATTGACTTCTACATATAGCCTTAGACTATGGGACCGGATCGGTATTGTAACTAGATTAGGAGCCTATGCTGGGGCTGGAGCCTGCTGCACTGCGAGTGACCAACTACTGTGAGGCGTTCGCTATATTCTTCGATCACAAGGCTTTCTTTCGCCAGACTCCTCCGAATTTCTTCTTTCTCGGTTGCAGATAATGAACCTCAACGTGGCATTGAGCTGTCGATTCTTAGTGTGACGCAGAACCAAGTCTGACCGAATCACCTACGTTAGTGGCATTGATGGCGACCATTAGACTATTCAACTCTCTGACGACTTATGCTTCTTTGTCATGTCACTTCATCGCAATTAACCTTGAATGCCTCTTACGCCCCGCTTTTTTAGTTCAGTACTCGTTCTAGGATGTCCGGAAAGTGGATGGAGCTTCACGAGTGTCCAGATTGATCAGATAAAAAATTTTCCTCTCTTAGCCGATCTCGGGCTGGGGTGTGAACGTAGAAACCTCCGGCTTTAACCCTGCACAACTAATGAGGGGCAAACTCATCTTATCTGATCATCAGATTAGATACTTGGCGCAAAAAAAGCCGCTAGAAAAAAAACCCTTGGTCTCGCGCCGGCCTGCGCTTGATGGAGCAAGCGCAGTATTAGGCGATGAAATAATGGCACAATAGTACTGACGCGACGAAGTAATGCAGGTGGCCACAAAAGGTGCGTAGATGGCGTAGGAACTGAACAGAAGCTCCGTCAGGACGGAACCATCCCCAGGGTCTCGGTTCTTTGTCACCTGAGGCCATGCCCTCGGCAACATGGGTGAGGGAAGACACAATGTTGCAGTTGACCACTCTGGCACGAGCGTAGAAGCTTGTGTAAGAATCCTGGGTGATAAGTCCTCCAAACTTCAGACGACTTCGCCAATTGATGACGGCGAGCGATGATGCAACTGGCAATATCTAGTGTGAGACGGCGTCCATCTGGACGCCACCAAACACTCATAAAAATTGCCGCACCGGTTCGGCCCTGGTCCAATTCCTCTTTGCTTGGCTCCTTATACACGCATTTGATTCCGTAATTGGCGTCACCCCCATCCAGGAGCATGGGCCTGAACGGAGTACGGCACTGATGGTGGGGCAGGACATCATAGCGGGTTAATACGGACGTACAGGTTGATAGCGTCTGTTTGAGCTCGGGTATGCATATTATTGCAAGGGAGAACCCTTGATCGGCATCCACTGCTGTGTTTTTTCTCGAGCACTGCTTTCTTTACAGATCTCGATGTGTTTCTCCGAAGTTCCCAAGTGATTTTGTCAGTTCCAAACTTCATGCACACTCATCATGGCGACCGAAACGATGAATATACCTTCCGCGCCGTCGCGGCAACAACAGAAGCTCTCTATCCTTGAGGGCCCTGTCGATCCTCCACTGGTTGATTTGACGTTGGGCGAGCTCCTTGAGCTTCAGACATACCAGCATGGCAACCAAGAATGTCTGGTGATTCCCTGGACAGGCGCCCGCTGGACATACAATGAGCTAAGCCAACAAAGCTCATCTCTGGCGCAATCGTTATTGGACATGGGAATTGGAGTTGGCGATCGTGTTGCCATTATGGCAGGTAACTGTGAACAATATGCGGCTGTCTTCTTCGCGGTGGCTAAAATTGGTGCTATTCTTGTCATCCTGAATAACACATACACATCAACCGAAGCGATGTATGGGTTGAAGTTTTCTGACAGCAAGATTTTCTTCACGACACCAAGAATCGGGCGGCTCGACCAGATGCCGCTGCTACAGCAGCTTGAGAATAAGAAGACAGCCCCCATGGTTGTGATGCTGAGAGGAGATGAGTCTGGTAAATACCAGACCTATGACGAATTGGTGAATGCTGGTCGCAGGCGCAACCACCAAAGACTGTATCAAGCAATGACCAAGGTGCTTCCTCATCAAGTAGTCAATCTTCAATTCACAAGCGGAACGACCGGATTGCCCAAAGCTGCAATGCTCACCCACCAGTAAGTGATCCATCAATTCCTCTGAGCAATGTGCTAGCTTGGTGCGAACTGTCGACTTTTAGACCTCTAAGCTGACGAGTTTATAGCAACCTGGTAAATAATTCACGCTTTATTGGTGATCGCATGCGGCTTGGTCCTGCAGATATTTTGTGCTGCCCTCCACCGCTGTTCCATTGCTTTGGCTTGGTGCTCGGTCTTCTTGCTGTTGTCACTCATGGCGGTAAAATCGTGTATCCGGCGGAGGTCTTCGATATTGACGCAACGCTCAAGGCTATCTCTGATGAACAATGCACTGCCGTTCACGGTGTTCCAGCCATGTTTGATTCGCTCTTTCAGGCAAAGTGGCCTGAGAACTTCAACTGCGACAACCTGCGTACTGGTATAATTGCCGGTGCACCCGTTCCTCGATACCTCATGGAGCTGTTGGTAAACCGTTTCGGAATGACAGAGTTCACTAGCAGTTACGGCTTGACGGAGGCTTCTCCAACGTGCTTCAATGCCTTCACTGACGATTCCATTGACACAAGATTGACGACTGTCGGTACTCTGATGCCTCATGCAAAGGCCAAGATTGTTGACCGTGATGGTAACATTGTACCTGTCGGTGAGCGTGGTGAACTCTGCATTGGGGGTTACCAGCTACAGGCTGGGTACTGGAACAACTCAGAGAAGACCAACGAGACTATGATCCGCGACGCTGCTGGCGTCCTCTGGCTGCATACCGGTGATGAAGCTGTTTTTGACGAAAATGGGTACTGTTCGATTACTGGGCGCTTTAAGGATATTATCATCAGAGGTGAGTCAAGAAAATCAGTCTTGCCAGTATGGAATGCTTGACTGACCCCGCTTCAACAGGTGGAGAGAACATATACCCTCTCGAAATTGAGGAGCGTCTGATGGATCATCCTGCTATAACACGTGCCATTGTCGTCGGCCTCAAGAATAAGCATTACGGTGAAGTCGTAGGCGCCTTTGTTGAGTTGGCTGAAGGCCACCAGAAGCCCCAATTCGAGGAGATCAAGGACTGGTGTCGCAAGAGGCTCGGTGGTCACAAATCGCCTGCGCACGTCTTCTGGCTGGGTGATGGCGATGTTCCGGCAACAGTCCCTCTGACAGGAAGTGGCAAAGTTCGTAAGTTTGAGATGGCTAAGCTGGGCGATGAGCTTCTGCGAAAGCATGAAGTAGCTGCGAAGCTGTAGTGAGGAGTGGAGTGGAGTGGAGTGGACAGGACAGGACTCGATGGATTGGATGTGTATGTTTTGAAGCGTGATGCGATTATTGTTGACTTGAATTTTGGAAGATAAAAGTTTAGAGCCGAGAGAAAATTAAGAAAAGGATATTATAGATATAAATGGAAAGTATGTAGCTGACCAGACACCCAACACCTGCCGTTTTGTTTCTTGGCAGTCCTAGGTTATAATGCATGCAAAATTTCAACCTTACGTTGCAAGCTGCTAAGTCACGGGTGAGACACGGCTCTTTTATCACAAGCATAAGTATGTAGGTACCTAGGTAGGACAGGCAGTAATTTGATGATACCTCATCTAGAAACATGTGATCCAAACATGCATGAACTTTTTATTGCTGTCCCGAACATCTCAAACGACCAGTATTTTCTATAAACCTTATTATGCCCGTCAAATCCTGTTCGACACTCACAGCTTAGGCACAAGACCAAGCTTTGTACCAGCAACAACCTTCTCATTGTCTCCCAGTGGGCACAATTGGAAGAAGCGCTCTCGCGACGATCGGACGAAAGCGCTGCGCTGATGTGGCAGATCGACAAGCTTGTCTAGGCCTGAGCCGTGTACGAAGTCATACATAACAATAGTTGTATTGGTCTCCTGAGACTCACCAACAACATACATAGTGCGCGGATCGTCGAGATAGAGGTAGTGCATCAAGCTGCTCCACCACGCCGACACGCGGTGTGGCCCGCGGAATCGCACGTCACCTACAAGGGAATGTCGACCGCGGTCGAAGTCACCAGCGTTGAAGTAACCACCCAGCCGGTCCTCCTATTGAACGAGATCGTCAGAAGTGTAGCAAAAAAGAAGGACATACGTGAACATACCTTGGCCCAATAGACCTCGAAATATGCAAAGTGGATATCATCCCACTTGGCTAGAAGCGCAATCACATGCGGGTCATTATGCACCTGACGCAAATACTCTCGGTGTTGCTCCAACGTTCCAGTCTGGCTCCAACCTTGGGAAACACGAGGATCGTTCTGCCATTCATGAAAGAGACGTACGTGCTCAGCTTCATTATAGTCGACTGACACCATGGAGAAGGTCTCGTTAAGATGAGGAATCCACCGGCTGTAAACAATAGCCCCAGGTGCAGGCTTGGCTGGTCTGGCTGGGTGCCATGACTGCTGAACTCTTTCGGGATCATCGGGGTCTCCGGCGACTGTGATTGTCGTTGTGTTGTGTAAAGGAGTCAAAGGGAATGATCCAAGAGGGGTCGAGGTGGGCAGAGAAGAAGGCGATTCTTCTGGGCACCAAACAGGCCGAGGTCCAAATGGCGATCCAGCGCCTTGCCAGAAGGTACTTCGCAAGACAAGGACGAGGCTCTCGTCAGTCTTGTTGGAGGTTTGACGCTTCTCCCGGCCCTTGAGAGGGTGATCAATGGCAAGCAACACTGCTGTGAGTTGTCGGCCCAGAATAGCGGCCCCAGCTCCATGTAACTGCAGTCGATATGATTCCACCGATGTTCTCAAAGTGAAAAGAGCATATGCAAGCAGCCAGACTTGACCCAAGTTTGGCGCCTCGGTGCCAGCCCAATGAACGGTGACACATGGTGAACGGCATGCCCGAGCCCAAGGACTGTTGTTGGATTGAGGTGGAAGCTCACTTGACTTCAGATCAATTGGGTCTGAGAAGACGAGGCCATCGTTATAAAGGTCAAAGGGCAGCCGCTTGTCAGACCCAGGAGCTTTCTGGACAAGTTTATAGGCTGGCGCATTCGTGTCAGGTTGTGCCGAGACTTTTTCGATCGCAAACTCAGTCTGGTAGGGATGAGGAAGCTTGACGACCGTTTCGCCAGCTTTGAGGGCTGAGAATGTTCCTTTTGGCGCTGACATTGTTCAAACGGTCTGAGGATTAAAGATTGGATACTAACGAGAAGGGTTGGAAAAGGATGGAAAAGTTCGACACACTCAAGAAGCTATTCACACCAGGATATCAAGCTGCATAAGTGGGAGAAGGTATCCATGCCGGTCCTCCACTTCGGAACAAGCTTGACACGTTGGGACTGCATTCTGCATGGATGGTGTACCCATCAATTCCGCAACTTTCCAGGCCATTGCACAACTTTCTCGGCTTTGGTGCAATGAAAGACTAGTGGTATTTTGGAGACGACGTCAAGGACGCAGAAGTGGACTTAGCTTGCCAAGCCGTATGGCAGCCAGATCCCAAAGATCCCCCCCCCCTACTGTGAGTTGTGCAAACCAACTCTGCTCGGGCAGTCAGGGTCAAGATTCTCGTGTGGGTCAGAGCGGATCTGATAACTCAAGACCAGCCACCCCTGACGCCCAATTTCTTACTTTCTGCCTGCACACCCCCCCTCCTCTTTATCCGGTCTTCGGAGCTGTTTACCTATTCCCAGGATCAGGGTCTAGGTATTGCCGACTTTGACCGCTAGCAGGATCTGATAAACCACTCAACCACGCTAAAGGTTCTGCAGGCTCACCCACCAGTTAACCACTGGGGTGGGGAGTGCCGGCTTCGTGATCTTTGTAAAAGTCGATTCCAAAGATTTTGATGAATAGAATGGCCTGATGAATTTCTTCGAGACCGAGTGTGCCTGGAACCTCTGTTCCGGGAACATTGTCTGGTCTCAGCGGTCCAAGGCACGCATGCTTGACCCTCAGCAGTGCATCGATATTGCAGCTCCCACCTGTGATGAGCCAAGGACATAGGGCCGTTTTCTATCATTTGTGTGGTGTATTTTGAAGCCACCTACTTAGTAAGTTCGGGAACAGCCATAAGCTCGGAAAAAGACACATGACTTACTGTAAGAGTCTTCATGTAAGTTACGGGTTCTCAAATCTTCCGAGGTGTCCATGGCGTCAGTGGCATGTCAATCGCCACTCATCTGTTAACTTTGCCGATATTTTGACTTTCCAGCATGCACGGGCACGTTAAGACTGGTTGGCAACCCGGTAGCCAGGTACGAGGAGACCATGCACGGACGAACAGACAATTGAGCGATGGGATTTCCGATCCAATCTTATCAATCAAATCTCATCTGATCTGAATTGCTCGTACATACGCAAGACCCCTCTTCACTGCAAGATGGAAGACGATCATGCCTGAGATCTGATTGCTTGTTCCCGATGATCAGTTGTTAATCGCACGCGATCACTGATCTTTTCCATCCAGTGTATATGCATAGCGATGAACATGGGTATAACGAATCCTTGGTTAGAGCTGTCGATCTTGTCTGGCTTCTCCGCTTTTCGTTCACATTCTTGGTGTTTCTTGGGCGAAGGTAACCCCAGACACCATACTCGGAATACGGCACCAAATGAGCTGTACAAAGCGATTCATGACGTGAATGTTCTGAACCTTAATGGCTATTGAATATCATAGTCTTATTTGCAGAGGCCGATGGGTATGCTATGGTGACATTTAGTGTTTTTGTTCCTACCACATGGACCAAGACTTCGAATGATGCTCGGCTCTGGCTTTTTCCAAGTCAAACGATGTCTAAAGACACTGCTATTGTTGTTTCAGCTTCTCTTCAAACCAACCTATGCTTGATAGATACCTACTTAGTCATAAGCCTTGAAAGTCTGTATGCCGATGATGAGACGATAGTAATGTTGGAGAACTATGTTGGTGTCGAGGATAGGCTATGCCATAATTCGAGCCCATGATGTGATGTATAAACTGATCGGTGATCCTTCGCAGATCGCTCTCTTGTCTCAAGGTATCTGAAAGCTCGCACTTTCTAGAACTCTTGGCTCCTATATTAAAACTTGGAGTACAAACTATTCACTCATCTCAGTAACTTCCTGCGCTAGAATTCTCCATGCCAGTCTGGTATAACAGCGCTGAAACCTACGGCAAGCCAAGTCTATCATGGAATGAATGGAAAGTCCGACTTCCCCAATGCTCGTTATTTACTATGAACTTGTCGCTTACATGTGCGCTCTCCCGTCTCATCGTTTACTGTTATCTCCTGTCCTGCCTGTAGATTGGCGTGAGGCTGTATGTCATAGAGAAAGGTCCGAACAAGTGGCATATCCACCACGAGGATATGTCCTTGGCTCGATGGCTGAAATGTGACGGTTCGGGACTTACAAATGATTCTTTTACTCCAAACGGATCCTAGGCTCAACGACCAAGTTTTCCCCTGTTAATACACAGATTGATTATATTGCAATATATAGATCCCGTGGCCTCTAATGGAGTATGGACGCCATTATCACGCAGAACCATGGTCGCTAGATGTGCTTTTAATCCATTACAACCTAGTGTTATCGTCAGATTGTTGTCAATCTTCTCTTAACAGGCATTAATGTGCTTCTTTCTTCTTCATTTCGGCGGATTGCCTTTCTCCAAGAGCCCGACACGGAGAGATGTGTCGAACAACTTTAATTGACTTACAAGAATGTGAAATCTTTCATCATCATATGTCTGAGGGTCTGGAACATGTACAACTATCTAAATTAGAATGTGGCGATTCATACAGTTCCCCTGGTTGTCGGAATTGTAGTCTTCGTCCTTACTCTTGTCTCCTCGCCTGTCAAAATGCTTGAGGGTGGAAGATACAAACGAGCCAAGGAAAACATTGGATATATGAGTTTAAATCGCGAATATCAACTAACATTGTAGGTGCGGACGAAAATACAGCCGATTAATGACAACGGCTTCGATTCTTACCACTTCGTGGTCCCATTGGGGTCAATCTCATGCTAGATAGATGCGCTATTCGTGAACAAGATTTGAATAGTTTCTCACTCTATGAACATAAAAGAGCTTAGAATCGTATAATAGGTATCAAGAAGAAGTAAATAATACACCCAGGACAACGCAAAGGCTGTCGCTCATCCTCGGTAACATGTCTAAAGATTGTATTCCAAACGCCAGTCAACAAGATCCTTTCACATTAAGCCTTAGCCTCGTCAGTCTTGCGGCCGCCGAGCTGCATGTAGTTCCAGCAAACTATCGACTCAGGTCAGTCATCTTAA